TTTTCAAAACTATCACAACTGACAAATCAAACCTTGCTTGCTTCCAATCTAATTAGACAGCATATAAAAAACATGAAAATACTTAATTTTGAATATATATTTATTAATGCTCTTTTGTCATTTTTATTTTTGGTGATTTACACATACACACTATTCCTGTAGCCATACAGACTACAAACACAGCATGTACACATTTGAGACTCTCTGCCTGCAGGCTAAGGGACTAGGGCATCTGGTCTCCTAGTGATAAGCATGTGTGTGTGTAAATGTGTGTATGTGAGGGCACAAGCACGCGCACATGCGCGTGAAGTACGTTGACAAGGTAGCCCAATCCGGTCAGCACTCATTAGTGAAAGAGAGAATCCCCGAATGAGGAGTGCTGTGACAGGCAGGACTCTCGTTAGGGGACTGTACACACACACACACACACAACCAGACACACACACACATAGTGTCAGGCTGCCTCGGTGCACAGAATCAGCCCAACATCAATTAGTTCATGGATGCATGCAATATATTCTGTGAGTGTAGTGGCCCCAGCAACAGCTCTTTTAATGCCCACCCTGTAGAAAATTCAGGGCAAAAAAATATAGGACATAGAAACCACGTTACTTATGCATGCAAGACTATTTGGGAGCAGATTGTCCTAGTGGTACACTATATAAGAGGTTGTTTTTGAAAAATAATTAACACTATTTAATAAGGTCACACTAATATAATATGAATTATAAATCATTTTTTTTCTCCTTATACTTTGGTGGCAACCTTTGGTAGTCTGAAAGGAACAAATATGTAATGTCTGTTGATATCTCTGGAATAATGTCTACTGAGCGGTGGAGAGAAACAGCAGGTAAAGCAAAAGGACGTGGATCTAGGATGGCTATTTGCTTTGGTCTGATCCTGCTTATTAGTTGATGTTTTGCTCAGATTTATGCAGATGCTGCTGTCTGCCAGGGAGGGTCTCCAGTGAGATATAACTAGCTCAGGATAGGAAATATTGAGTTCATTTAAAATATATGGCTTCATTATTTCATCATTTTAACTGTGAGTGGGTTCAGATGGGGCATATGATGTTTGCCAAACCTTATGTGCACGATCAACTGATGAATACGGGGTGTAAACACATCACATATGTTCTGATAATTAGCACCATTACTGCCTGTTTATTCATAATATATTAACCAATCAACACATTAAGATAATGAAAGGAAGCAGGTTAGTGAAGCAGGGCGATGCTTTGGGTGACCACCATTGCCTATGCATTGTGGAACATATTTTTATGTCATTATCTGAGCATATGGGAGTATGCAGCCCTGCTGAATTATGAACATAACTGAGTGATTTGAGTTTATATTAGTCCTGGACTGCTTGAGGCTGTCACGCAACTATTGTGTGTAAAGGTACCGTGAGCCTGGTGGAAATGAGAGGGTTAATTAACTGATGGGTGGGATGGTGGTCGAGCATACGGGGTGATGGAATAGCTTTTGAATTATGGAACAGTGGAATGCTGTGGCTGGTGGCGTCCAGCCATATGTCAGCGTATGCCTCCTGTGTCTAGCTGGGGACAGCTGGTCAGATTGCTCATGTTCAACCGAGTTAGGGACCAATCAATCAAAATCGGGCAGCTTGTTGAGTTGTTTAAGCGGGGGGAAGAATAAAGCACGGGAGTCTGTTGTGATTCTATCACTTTGGTGCCATTATGGATGTGTCAGGAAGTGTTAGCAGACGTGAATTCACTCTGCATCAAATCAGTTGCACCACTTGATTTTCTTAGAAAGGTGAATATGTGTGGAGTGCAGCATTCAAGGTTATTTTGAAGACGGTTTAACATACCCCTCAGTTGTTCTAAACTAGCTGGAATTAAAACTTTACTCTTGCTTTTACTCTTCCTCCCTCTGTTGGTTCTGTTTGGTTTGTGTAACAAAACAATGCTTCTATTTTGAGAAGAAAATTTGATTTTTTTTATCTAGAGACCAGTCTGGTTAAATAGAGGTCATATAAAAAACAACAACCTGCAATTACAGGTCAATGTTATAGTTAAAACATGCGTTCCTTCCTCTGAGCTGATGTCAAGCCTGTACAGATTTGTCAAATGGAAATGTATGAATTTGTGCCAGTGAGTGAGGCTGTATTTTGAACACGAACTAAAGTAATTACCTTCCAGTTAATACAAATATATTTCCCACTATTGAGAACTAAAAAATTAGTCTAGAAATAAAAATGAATTGACAGCATACAAACAAAGGTCTTTTATATGCTGGAATGAAGATCGATTTTTCTCCTGCAATTGTTCCGACTTTGGTAAAAATTAATTTCCGTCTTTTTTCTTTTAAATCACAATAATTTAAAATTAATTTTCAATTTCAAAGATTTATTTTGACATCCTGAACAGGCAATACAATCCCAGATGACTACACAGCTCTTATCATACTCTCTGTGTCTCTGGTGCGGATCTAGAGATTTAGATTCTGCAGTGTACATATGCCTCTGGGTATTTCTGTCTATCTGTCCTGTCTTCAGCGTGAGGCCTTTTGTCATTGTAGATGTTCAGAAGATGCATTATGCATATGTGGTTCATCTCTGGTGGTTATAGAAAGGTCTGTATCATTCTGACAGTTTCAATAAATAAATAAAAAATCTGGTATTCTTATCAGTAGTTGTAGCTATCTAAAAATATCTAAGGGACAGACTGTACCAAAGCAGCTATTTGCCTTCACAGCATGGCATGACGGGGATAGCTGGCTATTGTCTTTAGTCTCTGCTGGGCCAAAATGATATGGTCACACTGATCAATAGTCTCTGTTACACATGATGTGTTCTCCATGGCTCTGGCTGTCTGCTTTACTCCATCTGTCCCAGCCTGTCGCAAATTTCTGCAGTCTCTTTCTCTCTCTCTCGCTCTCAGTCAGACACGCACTCTACATGCCTGTTTATTTGGAGCTGGGTATGTGTTCCCTTGAGAACAGTGAACATTAAGGCACAAAACAGGGCCGTTACCTTTGAACTACTCCAATGAAAAATTATGTTTATTTGACTCAACTATGATCAACTAGGATGATTGCATAATGACTGAATGATGTAATGATTCTACTGCAGACTTAAAAAAATATGACACACGACTATGATCCTTTAACAGAGGGAATGGGTAAATATCCTAGTTTTTCATAGTTAAAAAGCGAATTTGGGAGTGCAGACAGAAAGTGATTGAGATAGTTGTTGGTGGGGCGAGTCTGCAAGTGAGAAAGGGATTGAACAATGCTGGTCAGCTTTATCAGTTCAGAAAAAAGACGGAGAAATTATGCTCACCAGTCTGTCACTACTATAACTAATCTCAGAGACCATCCTCTTATTAATTGTTTATCGCTGATGGACCATGAAATGAACAATTAGATTGAAACATCAATACATTTCACACTTTGATGCTGATGTGGAATGCCAAGTGAAGTGAATCCTAATACAGACAGCAGTATCATTTTGCAAACATCAAGCACCAATTTATTGTGTTTTTCAGTTTTTTTCTACAAGGCCAACATTTAGCATTTAGTCTTGCGTTTCATTCACAGATTTGTTCATGGCTTATTCGGTATATTGTCTCTTGGCTTGTAAAATATGCATCTGTAGGAATCTTCCTGCTCTTGTTAGTGTCATCTCATTTTTACTCCAGCTGCATTCTACCTGTAAATGCTACAACAATTAGAACAGAAAAAAGTGAGTTCATTTGAGACTCTAAAGACAATAAAACGATGATTTGGGATCAACTTAATGATAGATGGACTACCTAGTTGTATCTCACACAAATTCTTGTGGAATTAAATATGGTTCATCAGCTATTGTCAGTTACATAATGTACAATGTTTGCCATCCAGCCATGCGTCTACATGCATGATTAGGGATTTCCTGATGTTCTACAAATTCTTCATATTCTAGAAAGTGGGTTTATACTGTGTCAGGCTAGAGTTGTTCTTGATAATTCCATGCTCTGTATTTCTCTCAGCATTGTTTAAGATAAGTATTGATTACTGTCTAGTCCATTGTGACATACGTCTGCAAGAAGCTGCATTGACCTATGTAAAGTGCTGTTTGTTAAAGCATCAATCTGCCATATGTAAACAGAGTAATAGGATGTCAAGGAAATATTTTCCTTTGCTGCATAAACGTTATAAGTGTAATAAACTGTTTAGGCAGTTTGATCAATGACCAGGAAGCTCTTTTGTTGTGTGCGTTTGCAGTTTCAGAGAATGCTGCTGTTGATTCTTTGTCAAAAGCGCTTGATAAACAGATAACACAGATAAACCTGTGGGTTTTTTTAAATGTGAAAATTCACAGTTTACTAGAAAATGAAATAATGGTATATATATTTGCATCAGCAGCTGAGGGATTTAAGAGGGATAAATACAGTCTTTGTGTACAGAGAACCTTATACAGATATGTCCAATACATGGAGATAAGGCATTTTGACTTGTTTATCTATGGCATCCAAGTGAACAACCTCTGTCATTTTACAGGCCTGTATGGTGTCAGGAACACTGAGCTGTGACAAAAACAGCTCACCACAAGGCCGTCTGGGCTCAGCAGGAAGTACCTCCATATCTACTTCCAGGTCAACCTCAGACGTCATGTGGACCAGATGCCTGCTCTTCGTCTCGACCTTGTTTGCTCCTATCGCCATTGGTAAGATACAAGACCACACACAGTACAGAACCAAACGCAGGATAGTGGAATGCAACCCACACCAAACTTTTTATGACGCTGTATCACAGACGCAGCGTTATTGAGGCTCTTTTGGTGGTTCTATTTTGGTACTATATTTTCGAATGTTTCAAATATTTTTGCTTCTTATAATAGGCTGAAAATAATGTTAGGGACATGTGTGGGCTTACTTTGAAAAATACAATTCCTCATTACATATTACTATTTGAAAAAGCAATTACATTCCATCTCCAAAGCTGCGACTCAGTCAAACATCTGCTAAATTTAACTCATTTAGAACCAGACAGTTCTAAATTTACTTTAACCAGACGGTTCTCATTTAGAACCAGACAGTTACACATCCATACAGTTAGCTACTGTACGGTTTGGAGGTGTTTACTGACCATCAGCCAACTAGTTAACATTACCATTATAGAACCTGCCATTGCAACACTCCCATCACAATAAAGCCTGCACAGGATTTCACGATGTTCACAGCTAGAGGAGCGCACAGGGTGTAAATAACAACATGATTGATGGGCTGCAATCCATTTAGCTGCTTCAGTTTGGGGTCCTGTTATTGTGCCATGATGGCTCGCTGCAACACTGTCATGGCTTTTTTTAACTTTTTAGCGAACATTAACTAGAACTGGAGCCTCATTACCTTTGCCATTGCCCCTTTTGTGTGTCACTTGCAAACACATTTTTACATGCCAGTCGATTTACTATAAAGTGTTCAGATTAACCTTATATGGGCCCAGAAGTTTACAAATTAAAGTAATGACTGTACGGGCTTTAACTCCTATATAACACCCCCCACACACCCACACTTGCTAGAAAACACTGCCAGCTGCAAATGGCAAGGAACACTTAACTCACTTACTCTTGTTATTTACACAGATCCTCTGTTGATGCAGTCCACATTTATATCTTTCTCTCACTCTTCTGCATTCCCTCTCTATCTCACACACACACACACACAACATTTACACTTGCGCACACACAGCACACACACACACACACACACACACACACGGTGCAGATGCAGCCCCAGTAGGTTGTCTGTATGTTTCCTCCTCTCCCCTGTGACGGTGGGCTTTGAAGGCTCCTAGAGGGAGCTCTGGCCCACTTGGACTTAATCCTATTAATGGCTGCTGTCAATCACACTGTTGTGAGAAAAAACTCACATATGTGCACACACACACTCAAGCATGTTCTTGTTCTCATGCCTGCTGACATGATGATATACTTTAGACACTGAAATACCGTACACCCATATGGACACAGATCCTTATTAAAAACACACACGAGTAAACACATTCAAGCACACACAGGAAGTGCTCACAGGCAGCCACTTAGACACACAAACACCAAGGGCTTTGCTTCAACACCAAGAGATGAGTTTCAGCCAAAGGTATTTGCATCAGTGTCTAAAGAATAAGTCGACATATGCAAATAATGCTGTTTATACTTAGCAAGGATTAGTTGAAACAAAGACAGTTTAGCTTGAGGACACGCAGCAGCAAGTACTCCATCTTTTCCACCGAGCCATGTCTTGTCATTATTTCAGGGTTATGTGAAGACAAATAAAACAGAAAAGGATAGCATGGATTTTTGAACAAGAATCACATAAAAATATATATTTTTTCTGGGGTTTAGAGTGTATTTCTGTCATGGGCAGTGTTTAACCTGGCAGGGTGGACTTGTTGATCATGAAAAATGAAAGGATTGTACAAAAGTGAACATCACTTCAGAGGGCTTGGCAAAATTTCTAAATCTTAAAAAAAAGATAAGGTATTGTTATTTTATATTTTTCCTGTCAACAAACACCATAAAAAGACAACTATCAACAATATTAGCCCATTCCTTAAGGCTATGTGATTTAGTAAAGCAGCTGGACACAGCAGATTTTAGAAAATGTTACTCAAGCAGGAGTCAATAGTGCATTTGTTCGGGACAATCTTCTGCTGTGAAGCAATACATTTCAAAATAAAGTACAACGCCCATGATCACCATCATGTCACACAGTGCAACGGAGTAGCTCATTTATCTGTTTTTAATATTTTTTGGACAATGATAGGAAAAACCTCTGCACATCTGCACATTTGACTTTTTTAGGAATTTTTTTAAATAGTCTCAAGGGATCTGGGTCCCTGACCAAAGGTTCATGCACATTAAAATTGTACAGACTGAAGTGTGCGGATGGTTTTCCTATCATATTTTAAATCTCTGCTCCAGCACCTTCAACATACCTTCATGCGGTGATCCCTTTATACACTTAAACATACATAGACATAAATAGTTTTTGGACAACAATGGAGCTCTATAGCACAGAGGAAAAATATATATCAGGCTTTGGCTACACAGGCATACTTGTCAGCAGGGTCAACTCATTGTTGGTTTCTTTTCTATGGGATTTGTTGACAGTAAGAAAAACACAGAATATTGCAAGCCTTGTCCTTTAAAATATCTTTTGTACTTTAAAAATGTGTTGGTTTTGCCTTAACTCACAAGACCTACATTTCAGACCCCAACACTGGCCAAATGCTTTGGCAGTTCGAGTGAGAGATCACCTTTTAAATCTCTCTCCTCTTCCAACTCACCCTCTACTTCTCCTTCTTTCCATCTATCCACCTCTTTCGCCACTCTCTTGTTCTTGGCCTAAATGTAAAAATCGATATCCTTTTGTTTCAGCCCCCTGAGGCAATGAGAGTGTCTGAATAAGATTGTCTGTACTGTCCGTGGCTGCCAAGTTTCTGTCACCACTTACACAACTAATGACAGACACATTAACATGCACTTGCCAGCTCACACATTATTGCATGTTTCCAAAGACAGAGAGCTAAATATTGGCCAGACTGTACGTGCATGAGTGTGTGTGTGTGTGAGTATCTGTGTGTGTGACTTGTGTCTGTATTGAGATGTGAATCTGCTTGTTTGGAAAAAAGTGATAGAAATATGTGCGGAGTGAGTCCTTTGGAGGCAGGTTAAACACAGTGTAGTATTATAGGTGTGGCAGCTGATATAAATAGATGAATTAAAAGGTGAGAGATGAGACAGGGCGGTGTGTGCAAGTCAGAGCATTCACTGCTGCTCATGAAGGCAGAGTGGCTTTTAATTGGCATACAGATAGACCCCTTATTTGAATTGTGTGTGTGAGAGTGTGTGTGTGTTTGTGTCATAATGCTCTCATTATGCCCAGCGGGGACCCTGTAAGGCAACACTGTAAGACATCTGATCCAAAGCCAGTCTAGACAGCTGCCTTACAATACTGTGTATTGATCCCCTCACGCTTCAGTTAACCCTCTCTTTAAAATTTACATTCATACTCACGAAGGCGGACATGATGCAGCCATTGAAAAACTAATAAACTAACACTCATATTAACACAATAATGACCCACTGCCCTAAGCACTCTCTCACAGAAACACGTAAAGTCCTTCAAATCCTCAGCCACTGCTGAGATACACATCCTATCTGAATGTGTGCTTAAGGTCTAATCATAGCCTGCGGTGACATACGTGTGTGTGTGTTCATTAGAGAGGACATTTTCAGTAAATGTCACTTACATATCAGTCTTCTCTCTAAGCTAGTGCCTGCCATTATCAATGTAGTGCCCCCGAGGTACCAGCACCACACAGATATGGACCACGAATTTCTGCCTTAACATGTCATCACTCAGAGCATTTGTATGCATGTGTGATTGTGTGTGTGTGTGCTTGTGTGTTGTGTGAAGGGCAGTATTAAGTAGAGCCCGGGCAAAGTGTCATTGAGCTCATTCAGATTCTTTGCAGCATTCGTGTAACCATGACGCTCCTCCAGCCAATGAGAGAGCCGAGGGAGGGAGGACGGGGTTGCTATGGTTATCATGACTAGGAGAGCGAGGAAGGTGGTGCTTTGCCTCGCTTTTCATGGATGTTGTACGTCTGTGTGTGAATTGCAGGTAGCTGTCTTTTCACTGTGCGCATGTTTATAATAAATATTATTTGGTAGGACGTATTCTTCAATAAAAACAGAAGTGACAGAACAACAAACCGTCACAAGCACTGGGCCTGTAGCCACAAACTACAGACACTATCAGATTTAATATATTTTATTTGTTTATTCAGCAGGGACTTTGCATAATATATATATTGCAACCAATATAGGTAAAATTCTCAGATGAGGTCCTTTGGCAGTGGCAGCTGGTGACAGTAAAATATAAATTGCAACTAAAGAAGGGCTAGGTGATGACGAAGCTTAACACAAGTGAACACCTCAGCTGATAATCTATCTATCAAGGGATGATAACTGATGTACCCAGGGATCGCTGCGCTCAAGAACAGAGAATAACAACATCTAAGCTACACCACAACAACTGAAATCCCTGGGAACATCCAGCCCCACAACATCAATATCACAGCATCATGACAAGACAGTATATACTACTAAGACAGTGTTAATAAACAGATAATTAAAGGAGAAGGACACCAAAAAGAGCAACATTTGTGTGACACTTCATTATGTTGATTATAGTCAGTGCATGTTCCATACGTTTGTAGTTTCTGGATGACAATGGAGTGTTATGGAACAAAGGCATAAGCTATATCATACTGTGACTACACAGACAATACTTGTTAGTAGGATAAGAAATGATACTGATGAAGAATTCTGGTTTTGGTAGATTCATAGAATTTGCGGTCAAAGTTAGAAAAGAGAAAATAAACATCAACAAACATCAACAACTATATTTCTTAAATTCGTTATTAAATAAAATAAAATAAAATATTTATAGTATATGATAAATAAAAATACAATTAAATCTCGTTCTTAGTACACACATTTTAATAACAATAGTACCACTTAAAACAAAAACGTATATATACTACATACGTAACTTATATACAATAAAATAAAAAACAGACGACATGAGATCAGTGTCACAGACATTTTTCATAACAGAGATTTTGACCTGTCACATCAGATGTTAATATAACCTGAGCTTTTCCTCCTTTTTCTATTACAAAATGACTGCATTCTATTTGGGTGAGCCAGTTTCAGGGTACCAGTATTTTGCATGCTGGCTCAGTGTCATGGCTTATACCGGGACACTTGATAGAACTGAGCCAACCTTAGCTCAATTTGTTTCACCTGGGCTTTTCCTGATATGACAAGCCAAAAGCTCTGCTGTGAAAAACAGTTATTTATTTATTTATTTATGTTTTTTTTTGGTTTCAAAATGTGTCGTCTTGGAATTTGATGGCACTATGAAAATGAAGTCGTATGCCATGCCGGAGCTGCTGTTTCACTTTGTTAAGACTGCCAGACATTCAGCTTACAGGATATCTAGACTTAATTAGTCAATGGCAATTTGATTGCTGTTTGGTCTTGCAGATGCTTCATCATCTAAAAGGCTTCATCGGTTCTACTCATTAAACCAGCAAGGAAGTAGGAAGTGAAGCAACAGCAGTAAGAAAGATCTGGGACAGATCAGTAGTTTCAATCTCATTGGAATTAATGACATGTTTCCTATTTCAGTACAGTAAGAGTGGATGTATGCATCAAATTTGGAATGTCTGAGAATAATTAGGCATTGCCATCTTTGAATAATCTCTGCAGCACTTAATGCCTGTTGAAATTGCCAGGCAATTACTCTCCATCTAAAGTGATGTCTAAAACTTCTAACTGCAAAACAGTAATTACCAAGTCGGTTCATTGCGACAGTGGACATGCCCTTATGAAAAATCTTCTGTAATGCTGTTGTTTTCGTATAGTGTGGATAATTAGTCTATATGACAAGGGTACAAATGGAGCTTTAGTTGAACACAATCTGTGCTTGTACAATTTAGGCCTCCAGTGCACATGTTTTAAAGACATCCCTACAAATAATTCTAGTATTCCAGTATTTCAGTAGGTAGAAAGGAGAGTTTATTATATCATTATATCAAATATCGACCATGTACCAATGTTTGTGTTTGCGTGTCTGTGTGTTCAGCCTATGGCCGTGCCCCTATCCCCATGGCAGTGGTGCGCAGGGAGCTGTCCTGTGAGTCCTACCCCATCGAGCTGCGCTGCCCAGGCACAGACGTCATCATGATCGAGAGTGCCAACTACGGCCGCACCGATGACAAAATCTGTGACTCAGACCCCGCCCAGATGGAGAACACGCGGTGCTACCTGCCGGATGCATACAAGATCATGTCACTCAGGTCAGTGCGCAGTATGTGTGCATGTGTTTGTGAGTGATGTGAAAAGTACAAATGCATGCGCTTCTATAGAATGTGTGTGTAGATAGTTCAACCTCAGCTCCTCAAGTCTCCCATTTTGAGAGGACTGTAGAACAAAATTGGACAACCACAGTGAAAGTAATTAATTCTGTGAATTGCTTTGTTAATTAAGTTTGTCCCATGGTACGCTTGGTGCAAAATGCACAAGGCTGACTCATGGCACAAGGCGCTTTAGCCAAAAAAGGAACGCTTTGAATAGCTTTGCTTATTTGTACAGCAGAAGAGATGGACATCTTTCAGTCCCAGAGATCCTATCTACAGTACGTGTGTCAACTGTTCATTTAGTATTCATCCTGCTTTGGTATCAATGTCAGCTGCTGCATTACTCACACGTTAACCCACTTTCACAAAGTTGATAGCAAACAACAAAAGCATAGAAATGACACAATAGTGCAGCACACCTGTCAGATGTAGTGTGATGGGGAAAAAAAAGAAAGTTCATGGAACATCTGTGGAAACCAGTGTAACATGTGAGCCCCGCCCTGTGTAGTTCTGCTGCTCGCAGTTCCTGTACATGCAGTACAATGCCGTACAACTGCTGAACCTTATCAGACTCAGGTAACACTTTCTCTACATCTGATCAGTATGATTGCCTCCTGTCCTGAAAGTGCTGTTAGGAGCACAGCAACTGAAGCCATGAAGAGTGCTCTAAAGAATTAGCAGTTCATTATTTAATGATGGTTACAATATATTATGGTTAGTTTAAATATTTTTTTTAATAGTATAAGAATCTAGAGATGTTCTCTTTACTGCTGCAAGATGCCAGGAAAGCCATTAAGACATGGATCTCACAAGTTAAGCATGAGGCTTCATAGACATGGGTTAGGTGTCATAGTTTTGTTAGCGATGCCAACAAAAGCCATGTTTAAAAGTCTCAAGAGCCTAAACTGGACAATTAAGAGCTTAATGTATAAATGTGTCTCACTTAACCAACATGTTTTTAGGTATCTTGAGTTATCATACTTACTTGAAGGAAATGGTCATCACTAACAAGCAGTAAAGTAAAACTATTTAATTTAACTAATTAAGCATCAGCTAATTATTTTTACTCATATCACCTCTGTATGAAAAAAGTGTGCTTTTGGTTGCAAGATGTTTTCATATTTTCATTTACCTGCAACTCATGACCATGATCACATGGTATGGAGCATAAACAAAATGAAAGCACATGGCATTGCTAAAGTACAACAAATATGACTTAAACAAATGAAGGACATTTTTCTAGTTTACATATAATTTTAGGCTAATCTAATTGTAAAAACAAAATTCATTTAAACATAGATGGGTGGTTTAAATAATACTTTGGCATTTATTATTAAGTTTATTATGCTTAAATTCTTACATTCAAACTATTCAAAATATGATTACATTGTAAAAATGCTGTCTCATTCTGCAAAAGCTACTCTCATACCTCTTCTTTCCTCACTTTTAACTGCACAGCGGTCACTATTCCTTCAAATTACAGATTGTACTTTTAAACCAACACTACATAAGATTTGGTATTTTTTTCAACAGTTTGTGCAGTACCACTGTTGTAAATATTGACAGCTGTACAAGTGTATTTGCTAAGAAGCTAATGAGCTCAGTGACATTGCCCGCTCGCCTGCCTACTGGTTCTTGAACACCGGCTGCGCTCCCCACCAGCAACCACCCCCCCGCCTCTGCCTCACCCTGGGCCTAAAAACCTCCTCCTCCCAGCGGTCCTTTCTTAACAGTGTACATATACCCATTCCCCTGGTGCTTTGAGTTCCCAGTCTGGGCAGTATGGACTGGGCTAACTAGCTGAGCGGTTAACTTACTTTAGTAACTAGTAAGGCTTTCTGTCCATTAGGAAACTCTGTAAAGTTGAGGCGGAGCAGCCAGAGGACATCAGGGAGGAAAAACAGAAAAACATTTTCTTCATAAAATATGATCCAGCTTTACCACCATCAGTGACAGAACTAGTGGTGTGTGATTTAGTGCCATAAAGCGCTACACACTTGTCCCAACCCAGAGCCAAAACAGAGAACAGGCGTATGGGCTGAAGAGTGAGAATGACAGAGGCACTATTCATCCTGTTACAAGTTAGTGTAGCATCAAAATGATTATTGAAGCGTAGAGAAGTATGAATGGTAGTAAATGTTACATAATAGGGCTTTGATAACATGTGACGGAGTGTTGTTGTACTTATTGCTTGAGTGATTTGAATGCAGCTCTTGATGACCATTTTGTTAACACTACTTAGTTGACGAAACGCTTATGTTGTTAATGTTATGTTTTACTGGTACTAGCTATAATTAGGTTGTCTTTTGGTTAGTTGTACTGTTAATAGTTTTTTTATACCACTGTGGTCTCTACACCTACAATGCCAACTTTTTGTATTGGGCAGGTATGATGACAAGGACTAACTGGAAAGTAATAGCAGAACAAAAATAGCAATGAGGGGAAAGAGATGTTCTGTGTAATGACAATGTCTGGATATAAATAATTCATTAATGTCACCATTAGTATCTTAATTTTTCAGATCACGTGTGACTCTGATTTAGAGTGCTCTTTCCTGCTCTCCTATTATTTTCTCTCTCATCTTTGTTCTGTCACAGTATTGTTGTCATCTTTCTCTCTCTCACTTGTTCCTCTGCCTCTCCATCAAACCACCTGTCCATGTCATGTGTCGGTGCTCTGATCGCGATTGCTTTGGCCTGGCTCGGTCTCTCCACTCGCTCTGGCAGCTGCAGCTTGTGTGGCCACTCTCCTACAGCCCTTGCCATCCATAATTTATACACATGCGCGCACACACCACACCAAACACAACACACAACACACCACACCACACACACACACACACAGCATGTGCCACACACAGCATACACTGCCCAGGGGCTACACCAGACTTTAAGCTCCAATTAGCAGAGCCAGAGGCCAAACTTAATCTTAGGGGATCCTCTGTGGAGGTGACTCAGACCGGAAACTGTTTATTACATATATATTCAGTGTGTGTGTGTGTGTGTGTGTGTTGCAAGAGGCATTCTATATGTAAACAAACACGAAATACACTCAATGCTCATGAACGCTGTGTGTTTCAAAAGCACCAGTATTACACATGAATGCACACAATGAATCTTTGCGTATGTGCACATGCACATGTTTAATGTGTGTGTTTGCATTCTTGTTAATGTGTGTTGAAGGCCATATTGGGGGTTTTGCACACATTGCAGTGGGTTTGTGCGTAGCTTTTAGCTTTTTCCCGTACTCACACACCCTTCTTCTTCATTCTGTTTCAGCCTGTCTGGTTTCCACTCTGTCATTCTCTCTATGTCTGTATCGTCTCTGGTTTTCAAGCCCAGCTCAACGGGCTGATAAAATCAGAGCATGTTCCGCCTGCCCAGTGTTTCCTCAGTATCACATTCTCTCTTTGTTTTCCTCCCTACCACTCTCCAAGGCCAAGGAGTGTGTATGTGTGTGTGTGTCGTGTGTGTGTGTGTGTGTGTGTGTGTTGTTTGTATGTGTGGTGTGTGTGTGTGTGTGTGTGCGTGCACCCATACCACATAATTGGTCTTGATATCAAAGCCTCATATCTCCAGAGGGTCTCACAAGGCTTCTCAGGCAACCTAGAGAGGACCTGATATCGCTGCATTTCCCAGATTATCTCCCCACTGGGATACACTGGGTTGAAGGGGAAACAAAGCCGTGGCCATGAAAGTTACGCTTAATCTGTTTTAGCGATATACTGGCCTCAGTTCAATGACTCACTCCGTTTTATCGCATTTTGCGCTGAAATGCCTCTATTTCAAAATGGCCACTGATCATTCTTTGCTTTAATATCTGTTGCAGCTTACTTTGATTCCATTTCGGTTTTACCGTGACTATTTAATTAAAAAAATTCACATATGGTGATTCCAATTTTTAATTGTTTTATTCGGCCCACTGGCTCCTCACTCTATTTTTTCCTAGAAATCAAGATCAGTTTTATTTTATTTTTCAAATCAGCTATGTTGGCTACATTTAGGGTGTGGTAAGATTGAATATACATTTAAAGTGTCACTGGGGGAGTTAGATCAGGACAACAGAAGCGTTTGAAGGTTTGGATTGTTCAATTCTGCACCGGGACAGAGCTGCAAGCCAACATGCCTGCAAGTTATAGCGTCCTATTGACATAAAAGTGACTTGATGGCTTCTACGGAGATGCTTCACAATGCACTCGTTGTCCCTTACTGATACTTGAGTGCTTCATGGACGAGTACCTTTCAGCGCGCTCTCTCTCATTCTCATTCTCTCTCGATCACACACACATGCATTAGGCACTTGAGGCTGCAAGTGTGGACAATGAAGAATGTGTAGCTAGTGCACACAGGTACACAAGCTCTGTTTTTCTACCACTGCCACAGCTACCATGTTGAAATTACTTCTGGACTTCAAATAGTCTTTCCCCTGACACCTCCATACCCTCTCTTCCACCTTGTCACCTTGTTTGCCCTTCTTCTTTTCTCTCTCCTCTCTTTTCTACATTGCTCTCCCTTTTTCTCTCCCTTTCCTATCCTGCTTGAAGAAGTCCCTCAACACAAAGGGACACCACTTTGACAAGAAAGACAAGGGTAGGGAGTTGTTCCCCCTTCTCTTCCCCTTGCTTTCTCTCACTTGCTTCTGGAAGTGTTAAATAACCACATACTTCATTTATTATTCTCCTATCTGTGACTCTCCTGATATCTGGATTTTTGTCACTCCATTTCTATTTTTTTTCCTCTCCCTTCTCATTGCTCAAATTGCTTCTCACCCTCACTGTCACTTTTCTTTTCTCCCTCGCCATCTGTTTTAGGTTTCATCGCCCTTTCCTGTTTTTCCATTTCCCCCCCCCCCAGCTCAGGGGAAAGGTGGGGTTTTAGGCTAAGTGTAGGAGGTTATGGGGTTCAGCATGTTGCCTGTATTTTACAGAATGTATTCTATAT